GTATCGTAACAATGGTGAACCAGGACCGGCTAGTATGCACAGCCGTGATCCACGTTCACCAAAGGAGAAAGAAGACAAAGAAAGAGGTGACGAAGGTATTTCAATATGTTTCATGTGGCTGACCTGTAATGGTCCCCCACCTGTTACCGACTCCTTTCGTTACCGTAGAGATGATCAAGGTGTACGACGGCAACAATTCCCTAAGAAGGCGGATATTTCGCGTGATTACGGTGCCACGGCAAGCCACCACCGAACAGGTCCTGACGTCTGCTCTTCGTGCATTTCACATTACGAAAGATCCTAGTACGTATGACGATCGGTGGTATTTTTAAAACAAGCTGGGTAAATTGTCTTCTCTAGCTACGGCGGTGCGAGACAATTTTTACAGGTGATTTAACTGTTCGAGTGACACGGGTTGTTGCAGAAATCTGACCGAAAAGGGCCAAGCAGGCTTCTTTCGTTCCATGTCGAAGAATTACGAAAATTCTCTTTTCCGACATTTTCACCGAATACTACTGTGCGGAAGTAGTATGAAACGAAGGCAAAATTGATCGTGTGCAGGATTTTTTAGGAAAGAATAGACTGATTGTGAGAAGCAGAATGTGTAGAAGTAGAAATTAAACGGGTTTCAAAATTCTTTGATGGAAGAAATGGCGAAATATGAAAGGAAGTTTCGTGTTTGATTTAAAATTTTAGAGTCTTCTGTTATTTTAAGGGTGTATCATTATGAATTTTTAATTCTAGCGCGTTCTTCCGTTTTAAAGGTCTTTGGGTCTTTTTTGACCCTCGGAAGTCTTGGTTTCTTTTGGGTCAAAAATTATAATCGATCATGCATAGGGATTTAAAAGACACGTTGCATTGAAATTTTGTGTGTAAGTTGTAATGCTTAATGGTGAAAGATATTTGAGAAATGTAGGTATTTATAAAGATATTTACACGCGTATAAGTGCGTCAATAGCATTTACGTGAACTCAATCTGTCGGATGTATGTAGACGCCCACAGTAACAAAACAGTTAACCATTGTATTTTACTCCTACGTAAAGATCAAACTGACAACTGCAAATGGAATAGTTTTGTATCGATGGAATTGTGGAATCGTGGGTATTATGATAAATGCTTCTGTTTTTCTCTTCGTGCACGCTCAATTAAACAAGGAGGCTCGTGTGTTTTAAGATAACATTGAATGGAAAAATATATATATTCATTTTCAATCAGTCATCAAAAATTCTATAAATTTTAATTCAATTTTCAAATATAATCAGCTGAAAAATTATGTCACGATTGCAGAATTTAATTGTCGCTTCGAAATTTTTCTAATTTTATTCTACCTACGAGTTAACATTTTCCCATTTGAATGTCTAATGTATCAGATCGACAACTTCGTAACTTCTTTCTTTATTCGTAATAAAGAATGATCTATGTAGATATCACTCGAAAGCTCTTAATTTTTATTTTCACACATATATTTTCATATACATACAATTTTGTTCAAAAACAATTAATTACCAACCTAATAAGATTCCTTTTTCTTCCGTTCAATTTTAGAAATGATTCGTCGACTTTTTACACACGAAAATTGTAACGAGGTGAAAAAGAAAATATGAAACGTTGCTTCTGTTTGTTCAATTCAGGCAACTTTTACCTCACCGACCTGTATGCTACGGAAGAGACCGAATTATGCGATCCAACTCCGATTCTAAACTTGAATCGCAAAGAGGGCAAACGTCCGGCTGTCTTCTTACGATTCAAGTAAGTCACGGTAGAATTCTTCTTCGGCGTTGTTTTCGCCGAATTTTCGCAGGAGAACGAAACGTGATTTCGCGATTTCAGAGATACCGAAAGCGGAGAAGTGCGGGTCTATCCAGGCAAACTACAGGTGTCAGAGTCATTCTGTATAGTACCTGTCACCGAAGCAACAACGGTTGCGGACTTAATCGAGGAGGCGCTTCAGAAGTTTGGCCTGCAGAACTTCAAATCAGAAGATTACAGATGCAGCGAGATTCTTCTGGATCGCGGTGGTAAACGTCAATTTAGCATTGAGAACGAAGTTAGGGAATTTTCGTCGCTGATAGATGATTGACACTCAATTTAAAAAAAAAATTAAAGCAATTAAAAGAGAAACAAAATCGAACATTTGCCAAAGAATATTTAATCGTTGATCATTCTAAATAATGAAAATTATTATTAATCTGTGTTATATCGGATGACGTACATAAAACTTGTCCCAAACACGTGAAACACAGTTTTAAAATTGTCGATAAGCGTGTAAATTATCGCAATTTAAATGAAATTAATCTAATTAAATTCTACAAAAACTACAATTTGCGTTTGGAACTGGCTTACACGGCATAATTTCTACGTCGAACGAAAAGTTGCAATTTTATTCTTTACACTTGGTTGGGTTGAGAGGAGAAAAGGTTTGTTTCTACTACTCGACGATTGTGATAACGTGTAATCAGTCAGAACAAATTACATTTTGTCTAGTCTCGGAAAGAGTTTTGGCTCGTGATGAAAAACCGTGGGAAATCGTGAAACAGTTGGGCAAAGATTCGATCAGGCAAATGGAGTTGATGCGATTCTACCTGCAGCTGAAGCAAGATCCCCATGGACCTAATTTAGCTTTATTCGTGGGTAACCTACCACCAAATCTCTCCGAGAGGAGTTACGAAAACATGTTGACCGAGTTCTTAGGCAAAGGTGATAACCAAATTGATATAATAGAAGAAAAATTCGACGATAATTGATAGACTGCGAATTTTTACGCATTTATGGAAAATTTGAAGGCACAACGGTACACAGTATGCACCAAATATGAAAGTTTGTCCAATTTGCATAAAAATCGGCAGTCTGATAATTATCTCACACGTAACAAACATTTATACACGAATTTCTTTTAGAAAATAAATTCTCGTTCATTGGTCCAATCTATTACGAATACGGCTCGATGGTAATAATTTACGAGGACTCGAATAAGGCAGTTAGGGCGTTGTACACGTTGCGAGAATCAAAATACGAGGACAAACATCTTTTAGGTATTGTTTTTTTTCTTTTTGGATGATTTTGAGAAATATCGAGTTTGGTTCAGCGATTATTTCGACATGTTTATTTTGCTGTAGTTATGCTATTGCCGAGTATCGAGCCAAGCATGGTGCCCCAAGGTGTGCAACCTTTGCTGGTGTTTGTGAACGTGAAATCTGGCGGTTGCCAGGGGCTTCAGTTGATCTCCAGTTTTCGAAAACTTTTGAATCCGTATCAAGTGTTCGATCTCGACAATGGAGGTCCGCTTCCTGGGTAAGTGATAAGAAACAAATATTTTTAACACACTTAAATGGCAAACGAAACTTCCACATATTGCCTCCTTATTGGAAGATTTTATGAAATTTTTATTAAAATTATTTAATTTCGTTACTTAGTTTCTTAATTTCCTTAATTCTGAATTTTTGGTGGATTACTTAATTTCGAAACTGTTATGTTAATCATTTCGTAATATCCTACTTCTGTTTTTGTGGTTTACAATATCTATTATTTGTTATTATTTTATTAGATTTTGTCAATATTGAAAATGAATAAACTAGAAAGTTTTAATGGGATTGAAACTGATCCTAATATTCACGAATACGTGTAATATTATTATTTATTAAATAAACGGGATAGGTCTAAAGTGACAAGATTTTAAAGGAGTTCATCGACGAAATTTCTAGAGGAATTTAAATGTGGAAAATTGTGCAAAACGAATTCATACGGTTCAACGGATATTAATATAACAAGAATTATGGCGTTTCAGACTGTACGTTTTCCGCCACATAAAGAATTACAAGATCTTAGTTTGCGGCGGAGACGGGACAATAGGATGGGTGTTGCAATGTTTGGACAACGTAGGACAGGATAGCGAGTGTTCGTCACCTGCTTGCGCCATTGTTCCCCTAGGAACAGGAAACGATCTTGCACGTGTCCTGTGCTGGGGTTCCGGCTACACCGGTGACGAGGATCCTTTGAATTTACTCCAAGATGTGATAGACGCAGAGGAATCTTTGTTGGACAGATGGACAGTGGTATTTCATCCAGAGGAAAAAGAGGATAAACAGTCAGCCACCAATACAGCAGGTACGCAGAATTAATATCGTAATTTGTTGAAATAACTGAATGCACTTTTTGATTACCGCTCAAGTTCAATGCTTGCCTGCCCTCTTCGTTAAACGAAGCGAACATTTTTGTTTCTGTATGCAAATCAATGGCTCCTTGTGAAATATTAATTCTACTTTATTTTCTTTTTACTTTTCCTTATTTTACTTTATTTTTGCCTTTCCTTATTTTACTTTATTTCTCCTTTAGTTTTGCCTTTCCTTATTTTACTTTATTTCTCCTTTATTTCTACTTTTCCTTATTTTACTCTATTTCTCCTTTATTTCTACTTTTCCTTATTTCACTCTATTTCTCCTTTATTTCTACTTTTCCTTATTTTACTTTATTTCTCCTTTATTTCTACTTTTCCTTATTTTACTCTATTTCTCCTTTATTTCTACTTTTCCTTATTTTACTTTATTTCTACTTCTCCTCATTTTACTTTATTTTTATTTTAGTTTTGCCTTTCCTTATTTTACTTTATTTCTCCTTTATTTCTACTTCTCCTTATTTTACTTTAGTTTTATTTTAGTTTTGCCTTTCCTTATTTTTCTTTATCCCTACTTTTCCTTACTTTACTTCAGTTTATGAAACACGTCTATCAGACACACTTTGCATTAAGTTAACCAAGTATCTGTCACATTGAACTACCTTCCTTCCATCAGACGCCCAATTCGTATATTTCGTTTGCAAATGCACGTGCAAAGAATGGAAATTCGTTTTCACGTAGAAATAGATTAGACTGTACAGAAACGATAGTGTCTTATGAATATTCCAGGAGCAGGCGGGACAAGCGAAGACAATACGCAAATATTCGTAATGAACAACTACTTTGGAATTGGTCTCGACGCGGATCTGTGTTTGGACTTCCACAACGCCAGGGAAGAGAATCCGAACAAATTCAAAAGCAGATTGCACAACAAAGGTGTGTATGTCTCGTTGGGTTTGCGAAGAATAGTGAAACGACGACCCTGCAAGGATTTGCATAAAGAAATTCGACTGGAAGTGGATGGAAGACTCGTTGAGTTACCCGCAGTCGAAGGAATTATTATTCTAAACATTTTAAGGTAATTTACTTCATTTATCGTAACTAGACTGCGGATTTTTATGCAGATTCCTACTTTTGTGAATGTAATTTAAAAAAAATAGAGAAGCTATATAGGCATCTGTTTTATTCACAAAATATTATAAATATTTTTGCTTATTACGTGTATTTTTGTGCCTTCAAATTTCCCATAAGTGCATCAAAATACGCAGTCTAATGATAAAATCGAGGCCTTTGATGGGAAAAGGGCACATACGCCAAAGTACCGTTTCAAGAAGATCGATTTCAAAGTTTTCATTATCGTATCACTTAATGAAATTAAATCCAAAAGAGAAGTAACATGTCCTTCGTATATTATGTACATATACACATAACACGTACCTGAGTCGACTTGAACGATCTACTTACCACCAGTGGCCTCGATTACAATTTCTTATACATCCTCTCGTTCAACTTCCTCCGAACAATACAGTTGGGGTTCTGGGGCAAATCCCTGGGGACCAGACACCAAGGAAGATCAATTTTATACACCAAACCACGGGGATGGAATGGTAGAGGTAGTTGGTGTCACAGGTGTGGTCCATCTAGGGCAAATTCAATCTGGTCTTCGCACAGCAATGAGGATAGCGCAGGTAAGTGTAAATTTTCAAATTCTTCATTCTCAGTCCAAAAATATGAGAATTATCCAACAACGTTGGTTAAATCAAAATTAAAATCATTGAAAAGCTAACTAAACGAAAAATGATATCTAACATTCGATTATTAGAAAAATTTGCATTTCAATGCTTTCGTTGATAAAATTCATTTTATTGTATATCAGGTACGTTATTTCATTTTAACGGGAACACTATACAGTTTGGTAGTTAATTATGTTTCTTTTTTTTCGAAGAGCAAATTTGTAACTGTAATATTTCGGTAAAATTAATATGAAAATTTTATAAGTGCAAATATTTCACAGGGAGGGCACATAAAAATTCACTTGAACTCTGATACACCTGTACAAGTAGACGGGGAACCCTGGGTGCAGAGTCCTGGGGATATCGTCGTACTAAAATCGGCGCTGACGGTAATATTCGCTCAAACACTCCTAACGACCCCATCGTTCTATTGAAATATAGGACAGTGTGGGTGTAACGTGAAACAATTATCTTTCCCCAACGTTGCATATTTTCTTATTCGTTCTACACTCTGCACTCTCCGTCCACAATTTCAAAATTCCACCAAAACCTGTCACACGTACTTTCCAACAATACTCCAACGAATCACCAGAAATCCAAAATGCAATTTTCCCCAGAAACTAGATCAACACCCACACACGAGTAATACCAAGTGTACCATTCGCAACGAAAAGCAGCCGATGACAAAATTTCCCTAATGTTCAATCTCTGTGTCTCTTCAAAAGTACACAAACACGTTGGCGACATTCGATGTTCAAAGATACAACGGAGAAAATCTTGATCCACTCATACTGTTCGATTTCACATGGAACAATGGGACCGCCTATCTACTTCTTGCACGTTGACTTTCTGCAGGATCTTGCATCTTTACTTGCACTAGCTGCTAGAATCAAACTTGCCATAACGCTCTACGCAGACACCGTAAAGAGCGTGATCCAACCGCTGGTGTCCGGCAGCGCATGCTATCCTACCCTTTAAATCGCACTCTAAACTAATGTCTCCTTGTTCCTTTGTTCGCTCCAGGCTACCATGTTGAAGAAAAATAAGATCAAGCGTCGGAATACCGAACCGTCGATTCCACCCGCTAATGGGGAGGGGGGCAAGAACACGGACGAGTGTAGCAACAAAAGCTAGGGCGCAATATTTCGTTGCGTCAATGATGATAAATAATGATAATCGATCGATTTAGCCTGAAAAAAAAAAAGAAAAAGAAAAGAGAAAGTATTCGAATCGCTGCTCCGCCTAGGCTTCTCTGGTATTGTACGTTTTCTTCTTTTCCCTGCAGCGACAATACAAGAGAACTTTGGGTGCGATCTTTAACCAGAGAAAAAGATAATAGAAAGAACGATACACGTTACTCTACACACGTTATAATGTAAACTTCCTGTGTAGTAAATGTCCATTCGATGTTTCCACCGCATGTAGCTCTCTGTGCCAATACTGTCGATGTATATTTGTATGATTGGTGAATATTTGGACAGGTTTGAAATTTTTCGGCGGGGGGGAATATTTGGATGTAGGGGTTTCTTTTCTGGTAATCCTTTTGTTCTTCCATTTCTGCAACATCTCCGAGGTGTTTTATTCGTATTCTTTGTAATGTTGTAATATTAATTTGGGATATTTGGAATATTAATATTTATTAATTTGGGATATTTGGAATGTCAATATTTATTCATTTCGAATATTTGTAATACATTTT